TCAACACAGACCAGGTCTTCGAAGCATACCGGACAATGTACTGCACACAAAGACCACATTGCCGAGGCCAAGTAAATCCAGATATTAATGAATGTACTGAAGTAAGAGTTCAATACAGGGAAAAATAAAACCGGGTAGAATAATCAAGCATAAGGTATACTCGTCCTATGTCAGAATTGAACATCTAAGTGAAACAGCTGAACGGGCAGTAAGCATTCTCAAACGACGAGCACCGTGTTGAAGACGTAGTCCCAGAACTTGCCTGAAACACACGTCAAGTTTGTAAATATTAGATTAGAAAGGCGTAGGTACGTACTGGTAACGCCAAATCCAAGCTCATAGTTCTTGTAATGGTGACCGAGGTGGTATTTTTTCATCTCCCTCAGATATGCGGGAAGTTGTGTATGATGGAGCCTATATCCTGTGTTAGTTTGCCCACTATAAATACAATAAATGGATGAACATACGCATAATGCATGCAATCGTACAAAACATAAAACGTAAAGGCTCCAGAAATGATCCCATTAGCAACAGCCGTCGGGAACAAAATATACGCCAATCTCGTAAATGGCCACTCAAGAGCAGCAAACAATGTCGGTGGCATCACGAGCCGGAGACGGTCCATAGGAAGATAATGATGCACACCGTGAAGTAGGAAATGGAGAGTGAGGAAAGAAGGTTTGTCGGGGAGGTATTCATCAATGTGGAATAAGAATCGGTGCAAAGTATATTCCAGGATTGTCCAGATTACGTTTCCGACAAAGAAACATACGGTGGTTTTGGCTATGGCATCAGGGGTAATTTGATACAGTGCAGAGAGAGGAAGGGCAGGATTGACGGAGAAGGGAGGCAGAGGAGACGTGAATTGGATGGCGGCGCGAAGGAAGAGGTAGATAGCGATTGGGAGCCAAAAGATGGGTACGACGAACCATTTGGTACGGGTTGCGAGCTGTAGTCAAAGCGACAGTCAGCTTCGCAGCGAACGCGTACTGAGACACTGCTTACCTCTAGAATGTCGTTCCCGAAAAGCCGAGCAGACTCTGAGAGGTGACGAGGTTGGTGGATCTGGCGGAGGTAGTATGCTTTGCTGGAATGGAGTTCAGTCGACGAGGTAGATGTAAAAGACTTTTAGTGGTGCACACCTGAAATTTGCCTCCCATACTTGACGCAGCAAGGGTTTCCTCAAGTCCAAAAACTGGTATTTTTCGAGATCCTTGGCTTCGTCTGTGTCATCCGGATGGAAGTCATCTGTAGCTTCCCAATCTAAAGGACCTTCGCATAAGCTCCTGTTTGAATGCGAACGAAGAAGAATACATGCCTTCCTTGACAATGTTGTCGGTGCTGCCTAGTCTTCCAATAAAGTATTCGTCAAGCATGTCGTACGCAGCATCCGAGTGTTCGTGTTCGTTCGTATCTGCCATGACGTTCCCAACATCTTTGCCTGCATATTGAACGATAATGTCGTCTCCTCCGGGATGGTCTGGCAAGAAGCTCGTAATGTCGTAGACCTTTCCATTGCGAGAGACCCAGCAGCTCGAAACGGACTTGTGCGCTGCCAGTTCCTCCTCGTCGAAAATCCTGATACGTTTGGACATGGTAAAAGTGGAACGAGACACGGTGCAGACTGTCGGGTCATTTTTTCTAACGCCTTTTATGTAAGCTCGACTCAATTCTCGACTCGCCCGAGACCCAATTTTTTTGGACTCGAACCACATCTCGGGGCGACACGGTAAATATTCTGCTATGGTCACAGAATCTATTCCTCCCCTTCAAGCCACCTACATACCAAATAATCTCAATGTCATCCATTCAAGCTGACGAGTAATCCAACTTACGACGCGTCGGCAACTTCGCAACTTCGGATATATATTCACCATCCTAACTTGGAAGGAGCTACATCTCAAGTCCACATTTCTCAGTATGGTCCGAGCAGCAGTACCTGATTTCTCTGAGGAGAAATAAGCCGTTTAAATTCTGTTGTTTTGCTCCGTGTTCGATCTTTATTCCCCAAGTGCTACTATGTCAAGCATCACAGCGATTTCATTGATGCTCCACCGCCTTTGAACAGAAACACGGTCGCAACAACGACAGCCATATGTTTATCTATCAATCTCGAAATTAGGTACCTACACCCGCCTTAGCCATCTTGCGGCTACCTACACGTCAGGAAACTAAGCTTTCAGGTAAGTACACTCGAGGTTGTAGTCTTTTCCTCGCTCATGCACGAAGCAGCTCACATAGTTCCCTTATCATTCCGAGAGTGACTATTCTTGGTACGACAAAAACTTTCGAAAGAGGTTTTCAGCGTTCATATAATCTGCTTGCCCCATCAAGTGCCGACTCCGGTTTGCTGGCTTGGCATCCATGCACCTGAGGGAGAGACTGAGCGGATGATGTTACCATGGAGGTGTGAGTGCGCGACTCGCCACAAAACAATCAGAAAACATATAAGTACACCAGTTATGGCCCTTTTCTTCCATTATCTTACTCTTGCGCACCCAACTTCTCTTCCCTTCATTCATTTGCTTTCCCTTCACTCTCGTTCATTTTTCGCCCTGTAACTTCAGAATGTTCAAAACTGTGCGTCCACTTGTTGGTCTTTATACGAGGGATTCACTTGGATGCAATACGTGAACAGTTGTTATCTTCGTTCTTTCTCGTCCGCGCTGTATCCGCAGTTCCGTTTCCGCAACTTGCTAGTGAGCTGCCAAGCTCAGTCACTCACGTCGCTTTTGACGAGGATACCGGTCATTACATTGCTTTCAACAAGGATGGATCTCTCTATGGACGTTATGTTGCCGAAAAGCGGAGTACCGTGAATCTTGATAGGAGAGACTCTACTTGCGCTCCTTTGCGCAAGGAGGAAGCCGAAACTCGTGAGTCCGATCCCAAAATTTCTTTAAACCTTCCAAGTTAATTTTACACTTTGTTCAGTCCCCGGCTGGAAAAACATTCTTCAATACGCCAACGACAACTGGGGAGACGGTTCGCGCAACATCGTCACCAACCCTACCGAATACGTTGACTACAATGCTCTAGTTTGCATACAGACAGAGACCGTTCAGTTATCCTTCACTGGAGAACCTACTTGCCAAACCAATGACATCACAACAGAAGGTCTCTTGGTTGGAACTAGTGGGTCAGTCAGTCTGGGAGTGGACCAAGGTTTTGCAGCAGCCACCACGCTTACTACCACTCGTGCGTTCTATGCTGTTCTTTCTCTTTCTTCAAGTTCACACTTTTTCCCACAGAGGCATCCACTATCGGCGTCGACACTTCTCTGAGCGTCAAAGTCGGAATCCCCGAGGTAGCTGATGTCACTGAAACAATCACAATGTCCACGTCTTTCACGAACACCAACTCTCAAGCGTGCGTTTACTACTCGATATGTATCTTCCCATCTAATCATCTATAAATGAAGTGCCTCGACAACTTATAACGATGTTGTACGTGTTACCATTACTATGGAAGCACCTGAAGGCAAGACTTGCAACGCTGTCTCTTCCACCAAACGATGTACGCTACAAGCTACCGGAGAGGTTAAGTACATTGCTTCAGGGTGGGTTTGGTTTAACTATGAGTCGAGGGTTGATGGACACTACAAATGTGCGCTGTTTGGCTTCCTTGTTTTTCGTTTGATACTGAGAAACGTGTACAGGGGCCGTTAGCATTGAAAGTACAAACCCCAATATCGAGGACCGCTCCAGCACAATGAAAGTAGCTGGTTCTGTCGAAGCTGATACGCATGTTGCATATAGTGGTGAATGTGTATAAGAATACAATAAGGAGAAGTTGACCTTTATTTATTTCCAGTGGTAAGATAAAAATCTTTGCTTCTTCCTGCAAGAGATTCGGTATTGAGATGGCTCGTGGCACTCTTTCACCAATACTGCTCTCGAGTATTCAGCTCTTTCTGCTGAACTGTGATTCGAATTCGGCTGGAATCAGCTATAGTGAGTAGCATTACAAAGCGGATCCATCTACATAAGCGCTCGCTGGTCGTTCACGGACAAAGATAGGCGATATCAAGAAGGCTTGATACTGTCGCGTAATGTTTAGATCCATGCATATTTGTCTTTGTATCTTATTCTGTTTCGACTGAGATCTGGAGCCTGAAACCGGCACGAAATCACAAGGATGCCTGACAGCACACCTCGAGATCTCTTGTGGACATTGGTATAGTTTTTTTTCCACTTTCCTTTCCCTCGCTCCCTTCTCGCTTGGTTACATGCTGACATACCCTGATATTCTTGCTACCGATTCGTATTTGTAGGCCGAGACATCCTGTGTAGTCGGGCGGGAATTCTGATAATAGATGATTCATTTTCGTTGTTCTAATACTGCATCAGGAGGAGCTCTGATAGTTCCATTCTGTTGGTAACGCTGTTACCGGTGAGTGCGACAGTAGAATCGAATAAGTAATCTGCTTCGTTGGGGAATTGAGCCCCGAAATGTGGTTACAGCGGAGGCGGCCACAGTAAGCGAGCATTTAATTACACAGGTTTTCTCATACACTTTGCCTCGACCATCGTACGCATTGGTACTAGAGCGATGAAGGCCAAGGCTTTCTGTTGTGGCTTCGCTTCGAATATGTATCCAGCCACAAAGGACTGGGAAGGAAGGAATCGACATGATGGTATAATACGTCGTTGATCAGCGTTGATCCCGAGATCAATCAATACCCTACGAACGATCTCTTCGCAGAGAGGAATGATCGCATCAGGTATCAGTTGTAAGTATACCAGTAATACAGTAATGAGAAATAGGGAGATTAACGTCTGCAGACTGTAGGCGGGACTTTGCTGTTAGGGAATAGGGAAAGAGCCCAAACGGCAAGTCATAAGTTTACCAACTTTCGCGCACAGGCGCCAGCCATTCCTGGTAGGTAATTCCAGGTAGGCGCTATCTGTCTGTCTCCATGACCGTTGAAAACGGCACTGGACGCATGATTTCGTCCGATTCCGCGGCCTAATACAATTTGCAGAGACTAATTACTGCTTGCTTCCTTAGCTCAGTCGGTAGAGCGCGAGTCTCATACGTTTCTTGTTGAGAACCCTTTAGGTTTATAATCTCGAGGTCGCAAGTTCGAGCCTTGCAGGGAGCACGTTCTTGAGAAGGACATTTTTGCATAGATCATTACTTGATCCCACAGTATTTTCATCTGAGACTGAGGTGCGTCTAGATCAGAGTGGTTAGCAACGTTTCCACTATAAATGTTTCCATCTTGCCAGCTTGAGATGGATACGTGGATTGGAGAAGGAATTCGGTAAAATGGAACGACAAGAGTTAAAAAAAAAAGAAGTGTATTACTATACTGATGTTGATTCTAAGAATTCAAGTTGCTACTACCGTCAACTGCGGTCGGGAACCTCGCTGTTAGCTCAACACGGTTGCATGATCATGCAGCTCTCAATGGCATTCTAGCATCTTCAACGGGTGAGAAGTTCACCGCAAACTGCATCAACGATTCCCGTCTTGTGATTTGCGTGATAGACTGTGATGACGACGATCGAATTAACATTGCTCAGTTGGTTCACTGGATATTTACTCCGGGCTTTTCTCACAGGAGTTGTCTGCGTAGATGGTAGGTCATAATATGATTATAGTTTCTCGGCGCTTTATGTTTTGATGGATGGAGTGGATGGCATATTTAAGCCCATAGCAGTGACATATAGCAGCAATTCCTGTCCGCAGTGTCTACTAAAATCGCCAAAATGTCCAAAAGTGACATTCCCCCTGGTTTAATTGAGAAGCAGTAAAAATCATCTTCCATGCATCTTATCCGGTCACTCAATAGCATCCAGGTACGGACCTTCCTTGATTGGGGTTTTTTTCAATGCAATATTGTACGGAGTATGTGATATAACATTCTTTGTAAAACCAATTACTGACAAGCTCTGGAGGTTCTATTGGTTCAGGTAAACAAATCCTACGCTCCTCAATCAGTTTCATATTCATTTTGGCATCAGGCATATATTTATTTCCATCAATCCAACTCGTAAGGCTTTGGTTTACTTGGCATTCTGCCTAGATTGGCTTACTTTCAAACATTTTTCTAGTGATAGTCGCTGGACCCACTGGATTGTTTGTCACCCTATCCAATCAAAACCATTCCATATCAATTAATTTCATCTAGATTATTGTTTTGTTGATTGCTGAAACTATCAACACTGGTCTGGATTTTGACATGGTCTGGGAACCACTGGTTCAGAATTTTGGTGTGCATTATATTTTTGATTGGGGCAACTAAACTCAGCTTCCATATATAGGACATCTTAGTGTCAATACTCCTTTGAGTAAGTGAAAGAAATAGCTCTGCCTCTACAGTACTAATCTTCTATCCTCTTCTAGTGCTGGCATCTGGTATGTTATGGTTTTTTTGTTTTGATATATAATCAGTTTGAATCATTTGATGTCTCTATATAGATCCTGTCACTACTGTTGGTAATCAACTACCTTGAGATCTACCATTCCTGACCACTGTATGATCCAGTCATTCATTTCCACTATTGTCCAAGTTTATCTAGGATGGCGCATCCGGAAACTTACAAAGTCAAACATGCTGGCAGGATTAATATTTTTTTTAGCTCTGCTTTCTTCGGCAGCTGGGATCACCAGTACAATATATGTTGCCTATCTCCCGGCATTTTCTTCGATTCAACAATATATATGGGCCCTTATGACATGGCTGATAGCTTCAGCCACATGTGACATTGTCATTTCCATTTCTTTGGTTGGATTTTTGGTTAGTCTTCATCGATTTATTTCTTTTACCATGCCACTGCTGATTGTTACAATACAGATGAAATACAGGAGTGATGTATTATTGCGAACTGAGTCTGTTATAAATAAAATTATTATTTGTAAGCCATTTCTGTGAAAAACAAATTTTAATATATGGCTTTGCCTCCTAATTTTTGAGATGTAGTAACAATTCAAACTGGAATCATTACATCAGTAGCTGCAATTGCAGATGTTGCTGCATTCAGTCTTGTACAAAAGGTATGCAATCCTCCTATAGTACAGAGTTTAGAAAGAGATCTAATTTATTTACCACTGAATTAGGGCACTTCAATGTTTGTTACATTTATATGCTTGATGCACCTAAAGTAATCACTAATGCAGCCAATTTATCTGGGATCTTTCGTTGTCCAAGTTGTATACGAATTCCTTACTTTCAACGTGACTCCCTTTATATCCGAAGTTAGTCCAAACTGATCTGTAATTTTGAATAGACTCAATGCCCGCACTCACTGGAAAAGACTTCTTGAACAAGAAAATGAAGCCCCAACTATCAGCGATATCGCTTTTGATGCAGGCTGCAGTGAAAGGAGTCGAGACGTAAGTAGTATTACTTTGACAAGATAGCAAGAATTAATTGACTCACATCTTATACCAATATGCTCAGTCTGACCCCGTGGTGGAATTCAATACCAGCAGAAGCATCTACACAAACAGTGTTGATCCTCATCAGTCTCATGGACCATGACTTCCAGCAACTCTCATTGGAAACTCAAAAATGACATTGTTCAGTGCAAGAAATAATATTTACTTTTCAATTGTTGATGAACTCTCAAATCATTTAAATCAGAATTGTGTGTATTTATTTGGGGCGACCACTGATGCGGCGCAGCAAACACTGCAGTATTAGAAATCAATTAATGAATTCTTTTATTATGCTAGCTATAGAAAGTCGCGCAAGCCAGTTTGGCCATATTTCACCTTGAAAGAAGCTCTTTGCCATGATTTCTGTGGCAGATTTTACCGCATTTCTGCTCAAACATACTAAAATTTAATCGGTGGCCGTTCTGACGTCATTTTCTACGCCAGTTTGTCCTCTGCTGGGCAGGACATTGCTCTCACCCTTTGACGGCGTCTCCTACTTGTGAATCTTCTTCAAGTCTAAACAAATTTCAACGCTTTTCCCCAGAATTTCTGGTATCAAGTATCACATGTATGGATGCACTAACACCATTATGTAGCAGGGATATTGTACACTAAGTATGCAAGCTACAAGTAGATACAGATCTAATATCATCATTCATCCATCAAGCAATTTAGCCAACTCACTCGTGTCAGTGATCACCAATTCGTTCAAAAATGCTTTTCTATTCTCTTTCCACTCTCCCGTATCCGTCGCAAAGCAAGCAGGCGGCATCAAAATCCCATCTTTTTGTCTATACCTCAAAACCTCTGTGACAATATCCCTCGTTCCTTGTTGCACAATCGTCTTCAATAATTTTCTTGCTCTATCCTTTCGGTTTTCGTTAAACTCCTCTGGGCCGACATCTTCCCAAATGTTTCCCGCGACATGATGCACAGCGATCCACCTCAGAAACCCGTCCACTGCTACTCCATATCTTATCAACACTCCAATATACGCGCCAAGCATCCTCGTGTCATTTTCCAGCGGCCACAACCACTCCTCTACAGTATTACCGACAATAGCTTGTTCAATAGGAACACGAAGGTTTCGGATGATATGTGGATAGTCGCACCATAAGAGCCTTCTATAATCAATTGCGTATTTCATAGAAGTCGGGGGGAGAAGAATCTTCCCGAAGAGGGGATGAGAGAAAGAAATGGCATCATATAGGCCGACGAGATCGGTGTAGAATTGGTAAAAAGGGGTGTTGGAGGGCCCGAGAAAGGGAAGAGAAGTTTCTTCTAGTGTTGCTGACATCGAATACAAGGACTTAAGCTTGAATTTCTCGCCCGCCGTAAACGGCCTAACCAACTCTCCCATTAGTTTTTCCACCATCGTGTCTCGAAACACCTCTTCCCCCATCTCTTCTTGAGGATTCTCCATCTCTTGTTCATGTTCCAGCATGAATACTTTCATGCACCCAAACACTGCCTCTTCCATACTCATACTCACACCCTTACTTGTATTCATCTGCGAGTCGATTACCGAGACACCCACCACTAACACGGCTCTGACGATCTCTACCTCACCCGGGTTCCATCCCTTCGGTATCAGCCCTGATTTAGACAGTCTGCCCAGGTTTTTAAACACCGAATTTCGATTCCCAGAACGCAATAAATGATCCACCGGTCTGAAAATCCATGATGCACCCAGAGGTAAGCCAGTAGGACCCCACTCCTTCCTCTTCATGTTGTGTCCCATGCCGCTAGCGCTATTGGTATCGATCGGTTGTTCGGAAGAGGAGGGAGTCAAATCCCCAGCCTTGATCGCCACCAACACTCTTTGCGTACTAGAACTCGATATTGACTTGGGCGTCGGTGAGAGCGGAGAGATTGAAACGTGTATTAGATCTCCTTCTTCTGCTGCAATTTCTCCTTCGTCCCTTTCTGGTACCTCACTACCGGTATCACCTCGTTTTATAGTACTAGACGCAGTTTTGCCACCCAAAATTTCATACTCGTAAAATGGTCTTATGACCTCAAGATCAATACCCTGGGCAGAACCGGACCTCAAGAAGATAGCCTTCAACGTATCTAGAGCAGCATCTTCGTCCCCGGGTTGGAGAACCGGGAGGATCGAGAAAGCATGTGAGAGCCATGTTGATGATGATACAAGAGGGTCGAACGTCGCGGTCGCAGCGTATTCCACACCAGTTTCGGTTTTTTCCAAAGTCCCCGTCGTTGCTCTTAAGACATCTTCGAGCGAACGGAGATACCACACCAAGAAACATGACATTGGACGTGCAGCCAATGCTAGAGATGTCGAGGACGATGCAAAACCGGCAGCAAGCAGCTCAACCACCCCGCAAACGACTCGATTCAACAATCCCGAGGTAAGAGAGGTAAGAATGTTGTCTTTGGCGCCGACGTCAATATCAACACCAACACCGACCAGAACTCTAATCACCGATCCCAGAATCCAGCTCGTTTTTGCTACTCGAAGCAATCTACTCCTTTCCCTTCTTTTCATCGTCTTATCCCCCTCTGCTTCTACCTCCAACTTTTTGTTTATCCTCTTCAAGAGGGCTTCAGCCACGGGTAACATAAGACTGGCACTTTCTCCAACTCTCTTCCTAACATCCTTCCCTCCCCGAACTCCATTAACTCTGGCTCCTTCAATCCAAGCTGCAAGAGCGCGTAAGAGGGCCCCAAATACGTCCAGGGCAGCTGGGTCCGAAT